GGGGGGTACAAGGAACTGAGGGGGGCTTGGGTGGAAGGGTTAGGGTACAGGCCCTGAAGCCCTGGGCAGAGCTTCCGACTCAGAAGGGACCCTCTGATTCTAGTCCCACCTTAACCAGTTCTGTGGCATTGCCCTCTCTGGGCCTCAGTCTTGCCCTCCTTAGAATGAGAGGAATTGGCCAGGTGCTTTCTAACAAGCCAACCTTCCAAAGCCTTTATTTCTTGCCAGTAGCTTTGGGGGTGTGAGGGTGGGGTAGATACAAGTCTGAGAGTTTTATTTTTTTCCCTCCAACTCCAACTCTTAAAACCAAGAATTTTCTGAGACACATTCAACTCCAACAAATGCCTTATTTTCCGATTAACCAGGTGGCTTAGTTACTGTCTAGAAGAGAAAACATTCTGAGTATATATTTGAATTTGCTTTTAGAGCAAATGGCCTTTAGCCTCGCCATGAAGTCCTGCTTTCCAGTTGGACTGCAATACTCTGTTCCCATGGCGCCCCCACAACTCTTCCTGCCTCCTGTCCCTCCCACTCCAACACTACCACCATCTGCTTCCCAGAATATAGGCCTTTCTTTCTATTGCTCCCACTGTCTTCAACAGGGGAAATTACAACTCATTCAAGCAAATGTTCTTGTAGCAACATCTCATGTCACTCCTTACTGGGGACCCAGCAGTGAATAGATATAGTACTTGCCCTCAGGGAGCTTAGAAGAAAATGAGGAGGGACTCTAAGAAAAGATGAATTCACACTAAGGTGTAAGTGACTGATAATGAGCTTACTAAGGATATTTGCAAATCAAATCAAAAGCCTCCTGGATAAGAAGCCTTTAATAGTTCCCCATTTCCCACAGAATCTGTTGCTTTACAGTGTTATAAGATATGCAATTTCCCCCCATAATTAAAAATAAGTTGAGAAATGCTGGATGAAACAAAGTTAAGCAGGTTCTTTATTCCAGGACAGCTCAAAGTCAGACTGCTCAAGTGCAAATCTTAGCTCTACCACTTACTAGCTGTGTGACCTTGCGCAAATTCTTAACCTCTCTATAAAACAGGAATAATGCAACAGTACTGTTTGTAGGGTTGTGATGTGGGTTAAATATGGTGAAACATGCGAAGTGCTAAAAGCATTGCCTGTGCCTTGCAGACATTCACATGTAGTTACTCTTCATTTTGGCAGAGCCTTTACAACACTAACATATTTTGGAGGAAGTCTCCAAGTGAGGGACACAGAATCCCAGCCCTCTTCTGCAGCAGAGAATTCCATGGGTCTGGTGTTTGGAGAACTCACTTTGGAACACTCCAGCCTCTAAAATGAAGTCCCTGCTCCTTCAGGAAGTGTTGAGCTCCTCAAGGACTTGCATTTGCTCACCTCTCCAACACACCACCTTCTCTCTCTCATCATATCTTGAGTTTCTACAATACCAAAGACTTCAAGTTCCTTAAGTCCTGCACCCTCTCTCAGGCCTCCACACCTGTCCCATGCTGTTCCCTCTACCTAGAAGGTTCTTCTCTCTGTCTCTAAAGCCACAGGTCAAATGCCCCATCTTCCCCGAAACCTTCCCTGACTACCCCAGACACAGCAACCCCCCTTCTCCTCCAACTCAGCCCCTTCAGCAATGCCACCTGGGGACAAACCTCAGTTCCCTTGTAAATGGCTCTGATAGGAAAATAAAAATCTATGAGAACCAATTTAAGCCTCTGTCTGTTCCCATGTCATCTGAAAACACCTTGATGGGTCATCCTCAAAGTTGGAGGTTATATTGGGGGGACCTGGGGAGCACTCCAAGGATCAAGGAGTTGCCCTCCAGAGCAGCTGAAACTGATGGGAAGCAGGAGGCCCAGAGGCGCTCCTTGGGAGACTTGCGCTGCACAGAATAAGATGCTGTAGGCAGAGAAGAGAAAGAGCGTTGTTGAAAGTGAGCCCCAAATCACAGCTCGCAGGTGCAGCCGCCCCACTCTGCAGAAGTGAGTTTGCAGCCAAGCTGTTGCAGGCTGTGCCGGGGGAGAGAGCAGGGTCCATTTCTCTGCCGGTGATGAATGACTCTCCAGGGCTCAGCCCGGGAGGAGGGTGGAAGAAGGCTTTCCAGAGGAGGGGCCATGCCGTCGGAGACCTGAATAAGCCAGGAGTTCACCCAGAGCAGAGGGTGCTGCTCAAGGGGGAGGTGAGAGGAAAGCTTATTCTGAAAGAGGGGCCCAGGCTGGAGGCGCTAGCGCTGGTCTGGGAACCTGCAATGGGTCCGTGGGCTGGAGCGGCAGAGGCCTGGGGCCTCACCCCTTCCACTGAGCATCAAAAGGAGTTTAGGTCGAGCTGTCTGAGCTCCCAGCTGGGCTTATGGTGATGACAGCTCTGAGTTCCTTGGCTGCTTTTCTGACACATACCAGAGGCGCCTTGATATCCTCCCGACATGTCTCCTAAGCTCACTATAGGCTGGGCCCTTACGGGAAGGTTTTCTGTGGACAACGGCCGCGGGTGTGGATTCCTTTGAGCCTTAGTCACCAAGGGGCTGTCCTGACCTCCACTGAGGCGGGCTCTCTCCCACATTGGTCTCAGAGGATGGGATAAGGTGGCTCTTGTGGTGGGCTCTCATGTCACCTTCCTTCTTCCTTTTCCTGCCCCTCTTGTCTAGATTTTTAAGCTATTGAAACTGGGCCTGAGCACCCATGAAACTACTGAGCTGCTGTTTGTTGAGCACCTAGTATGTGCCAGACTCTGTTGAAAAGCCACATGCTGGAGGGAGCCAGTGAGTGATTCAGCCCCTCCACAGGCACTCTCGGCAGCAGCCAAGCGTCCAGGGTGCAAAGCAGGGCACAAGTTCTGGATTTGTGCATCCAATACGTCAGCACTAGTCACACTGTTTAAATG